CCGTGCCCGCGCGAAAATAACAACGCGGAATAATTCATAGCCGAATATCCATTAATTCACCGACCGCGAAATTAACCACTCGGCGAAATTGTCGTCAGTGCTGAATTCGCGAGTATCTGTTGCACGAAAAATGTTATCGTTTGTCTCTCTCTCTTCCCCGCGGGCTCATCAGGGCGTCGCTTGCATATGCACGAGTCGTCAAACTGCGCTGGGCGGAGGAGTTGACGCAGCAGCTGCGACACGCTGCATCGAACGCTGGGCAAGTCGGAGGCACGGAGAAGGGACACGTGAGTGCCAGGTCCACGACGGGAGGGCGGGCAGGGTCGTGGTGCGGGCGGAGGGGGTTGGAGTCGGAGGGACGGGGGGTGGAGGGGGATGTTGGGGGGGGAGGGGGCGTGCGCGGGGGTAGGGGTCGAGACGGCAAGTCGGTCGAGACCGGAGAGGGACACGTGAGTGCCAACTGTCACGATGGGAGCGGCAGGACCTGGTGGATGTGGGGGAGGGCATGCAGGGTGGGAATTGCGGGGGGGGGGCGGGGTAAGGTTGGGGCGCCGTGCCGGGGGTGGGGGGGGGGGGTTGGAAACGGGGGTAGGATTGAAGTTTGGTAAGAGTGAGGGTGGTGTAGGGAGGGATTTGATAGCGAGTGGGGGCGGTGCCGGGCGGTCGGGGTCGGAGCGGGGAGATTGGGTTGATTAGGGTGGCAGGTGTGTGGGGTTAGGAATGTGCAGGGTGGGGTAGGCGTTGGTGTGGTAGGAGCAGGGTGGGGATGGGGGGCATGTAGGGAGTCCGGGTGGCCCGGGGTGGGGGAGCTTGCAGGTAGTCGGGGGTGGTGGGCGGATGTGGGGGGCGTGAGGGAGGATGGGGGCGGGCCTGCAGGGAGTCGGGCGTGTGTGGGATGTGGGGGGGGGGGGCGTGAGGAGGAAGGGGGGGGATGCAGGGAGTCGGGGGCGTGTTGTGGGATGTGGGGGGGCGTGAGGGGTGGGGGGGCATGCAGGGAGTCGGGGGCGTGTGTGGGAGTGGAAGCTATGCAGGGGAGTCGGGGGTTGTGTGTGGGATTGGGGGGGCATGCAGGGGTTGGGCCTGGGCACCGGGCGTGCGGTAAAGGGGAAACAAACAATTTTTTAAGGGTGGCCTGGTCTTTATGAATTGAAGTTGCAAGGTACAAACAATCTGCAACAACTGGCAACCTTACAAGTAACAGGGTGTGAAATTAACGGGAGTCCGGAGTCAAATAGTGCCTGATTTACAGCCGGACTCCCTGACAGGAATAAAATTTATATTTCGGTGGCTACTTTTCAAGCTCGCGTGCATGAAAATAGCACTCTAAAATTTGGTTTACATTGAACTCTATGCAAATTTCCGGGGGCTCTTTTTGGCATTTCCGGGGCTCTTTTTGGCATTTCGGAGGCTTAACCGAGCCCCCGTGTTTTTTTTTCACTGCTCCCTGATTTGACATATGCAGGAGTCCGTGTGACTCCCTGAAAATTCTGCCATACTAACTAGTTCGTTCCAGAGCACGGCCTCGCGGAGTTACCGTATTTTTCCAGCAAATGTCCGAAGAAAATTTGGCAGACGTGCAACCGCATGAATCTTCAAAATAAGCACATGCGTTATTGTTAAAGGAGACAATTTGGAATCCCTATTGCAATATATATATGTGAAAGAGTTCGATTAAACAAGTATTATGATTGTTTCACACAATTTTTTTCGAACGTTTTCTATATCAAAAATGACTTAGAAAATAAATATTTCAGAGCTGTGGGCGTGGCCATTTATTCAACAGGTTACAGCGCCGCCTGTCGGATCGTGACGTCACAGCGTGGTGCCCGGCACATGTGCAGCTGTACTGAATATATGATTGATGATTCTCCATATTTTTTCTTTACAGCCCTGGGTAGAAATTAACTTTTTAAGTAGGGAGTCCAACGGACCCCCTACCCTCAAAAAGAGAGAGTCCGCAGCAAAATGAGGGAGTCTGCAGTCTGAAGTTCAAAACTAAAGATATTAACAATAACGCGTTGGACATTGCAGGACATTTGCGGTGCACGTCTGCTAAATTTTCTTGGGGACATTTGCTGGAAAAATACGATAATTCCACGAGGCCATGCTGTGGAACGAACTAGTTAGTGCATATAGCAGAATTTTCAGGGAGTCACACGGACTCCTGCATATGTCAAATCAGGGAGTCCGAAAATAAATTAGGGAGTATTTGACTCTGGACTCCAATTAGTTTCGCACCCTGTCTTTATATTTTAGTGATATATATGTAGATTGTGCATATAGATATATAGATATGACTGTTCTCCATATTCTGCCAACATTTAGTACAATAAGGCCACCCTTAAAAAATTGTTTGTTTCCTCTTTACCTACTCGCCTCTCAGAGTAGGTAGGTAAGTGAAAAATATTTTTTATTTTGTTTTGACAAGATGTGTGTATGTATATTGTATATTCTGTTTTGTGTATATATGTTTTTGTGGAACGAATTTGATGTTTTTGGGGGGCAAAACGAAATAATTTTTGTTTTGTTTTAATCGGCCAATAAAATGTGTCGAGTAGCGGCGTTTTGGCGAGTCGGTCGGTAAAGGGGAAACAAACACCACCACCCTGCTCGCAAATTTTTTTTCCCTACACGTTATATCCATTGGGCTCTTCTGATTGGCTGCTTTGATTTGACCACACCATAGATAGTGTTTGTGATACCATAGATAGTATATAAGCCGATTCGGTTTATAGTTAGGGTTAGGTTTACGATTTTTGCATCATTCCTTTTGCATCATTCCGTCTGATGCGGAAGTTGATATGCGTATATCAAGCCCAATGGATATAACGTGTAGGAAAAAAAATTTGCACCCTGCCCGCCATCCCGTCGTGACCTGGCACTCACGTGTCCTTCTCCGTGCTCTCCGACTTGCCCGCGTTCGACTGCAGCGTGTCGAGCTGCTGCGTCACTTCCTCCGCCCAGCGACAGTTGACGAGCTCGTGCAGATGCAGCGACGCCCTGATGAGGGCGCGAGGAGAGAGAGAGACAAACGTAAATTTTTTCGTGCACAGATACTTTCGCGAATTCAGACTTGACGGACAATTTCGCGAGTGGTTAATTTCGCGGTCGGTGAATTATGGATTATTCGGTATGAATTATTCGTGTTGTTATTTTCGCGGTCGGGCACGCGTTCGCGAAATTTGCGAAAATGAAACCACCGCGAAATATACAGCGTGTACAGTAGACGCTGGCTGCTGGGCGTACCTGCAGTGTGGACACTGTGACCGCTGCTCTGTCAGCCACCTCTGCAAAAGAAGTGCACACCAGTGAATTAGCTGCTCACCACACAAACCTCGCCAACGCATTACGACAAACGACGAAATAAGTAAAACTTCTAGTAGTACCCAGAGATGAAGAATTCAGATTTCTCTCCATCTACTCTGTGCTGCCACACCACATCTTCTTCCTGTATTAATCGCGCCGCACGACCAACTGAACATTCAGACGTTCAAAACCAAGATCCCGCGGGAAGAGTCCGGTTTTCCCCCTTCCAGTTTTTCCTACACAGCACAGGTCACGCATAGGTCGACGGGTGTCGATCAGAGAGTCTGCCGGTCAATGAGTCTGCCGGCCGTCGTCCGAAACGACGCAGGTGGTGCCACACAGGGTAAAAAATACACGGGAGCGATTTGCTCTTCAAACCTCCGAAATCGCTCCCGTAAGGCTCAAAAAAGCTCCCGTAAACCTTTTGACAAGAGCTATTTTTCCCACAGACTTTAATACGAAAAAGAGCTCCCGTGAAAAAAAGTAATTTTTCCCCTGGTGCCACGTTATTATTATTATTATTAAATCTTGATTGCATGCAATTCAAATACAAGTACACGTACTTGTGGACAACCTTTTTCATGGAGAAAAAATCTGATAAATGCAGTACTTAGTGTTGAGCAGTTAAAACGATAAAATTTCCGTGTCGTGAAAAAGACGCAAGTCGCAAAATGTATCGTCTGCTTACCCGTATGCACATGAAGCAGCAGAGCTTGGAGCAATGCGGGCAGAGCCGCGCATCGCGCAGCTTTTCCATACATATGAAACATCGGAATACTTCCGCCAGGCTCTGCAAAGCGAAAAACGATAGAAAAATTAAGCATCCGAGCTGCATTTCGCAACGTCGGCCGATCTGGCCCTCTTTCGCTCTTTCCCGTTTTCTCTCTCTCTCTCTCTCTCTCTCTCTCTCTCTTCTTCTCTTCTCTCTCTCTCTCATCTCTCTCTCTCTCTCTCTCTCTCTCTCCCCCTTGTCTATGTTCGTTCTGTTCTAGTCTGTTCTTCCTCTCCCTCCAACTCATTTTCTCTGCTTCATGCTCTACTGTGTTTTCACACAGACTGCTTCCACAACCATACATTTCCACATCACTATCGTGAAGTATTTACATATATATATATATATATATCTATATATATATATATTATATATATATATAATATATTATTATATATATATATATATTATATTATATTATTATATTAATTGTGCGTGCGTGAATATGTATGTTTAATTGATCTTTGCGTACATCTAAGGGGCAGTACAGCATATTCAACATTACCATGATACGCTTCCTCAGACCTACTACCGTCCTTACACTATACATCCTCACAAGAACGACCATAAACAAAGGCTGCATAGAGGAGATGACCGGTGGTGGTAATTTAAACACGGGAGATTAGTTCCGGGTGAACTTCCCTGACCACATCCGCATGTTCTGACCACCAACAAGTCGCTTTTACTGTTCCTTAGAAAATGCCAGACATAATGAATACTGTATTAACTATTATTCATGTAAAATCATATCCATCAGTATCACAGCACAGCTATGTGTGCCCCTCTCCCACACACACACACACAACAGCAGTGCAAATCGACTGAAATTCACTCTTGTGGGCCCGATAGTCAGAGCTAATCACTATTCGACTTTAGCATACTTAATTTCGTCTCATCGATCGGCAATTTTTTTTTAGATTTGAAAAACATGCCAAAAAACCAGGAACACCAGCAATTCTAATTTATCAACCTAATTAGAGAACCATTGACGAGCCCTATTAGGCCATGTACCTCTCGTAGCACGGTCTAATGAAGACAGGTGTACCTCAATGCACTCTATCAACAAAACTCACCTCAGCAAATACACAAACATATTCGGAAACTATTTTGCCTATTGTACTTTCACTTGCAGCTCTACTTGCGTATAATCGTTTTCTGGTTTGACCCACATAGCCATTTTTAAGACCATGCCCCACGCAATACTTACTAGGTGTTGGTAGTGTGTGCGTGTGTGAGTATTTGCGTGCATGATGGTATGAGCAGGGGGACTTATTACTATAGTATAGCTCTAGTAACTATAGCCCGACGTACCCTGCGATAGCTGGCGGCCAGCGGCAACCGTACGCGGGCTATAGTTACTAGAGCTAGGGGACTTGCCACTGCTGCAAGTAATCTTACAGGTGTTACCATACATTACAACAAGAGTACATAATAGAGACTATTATGTACTCTGATTACAAGCATATATGCAGGCAGCAGATGCGTTTTTCGACTCGAAAATTTCGAGTACATGTAGGCCAGGGTTTAGCCCCAGCTAAGCCTGTGACAGAGCTCCCATGCATGAGAGCCCTACTCTATTCACGACCATGTGCTCCATACACTGCACACACGCACAACGCACTCTATTCACACAGCATATGCGCCTCCATGTATCACAGGAATCAATGAGCCACAAAAACATTACACACGACGTTTGAAACTGTGCACTTGGAATACTTACGCGTATGGGAGTGAGATTTTTCGCCGTTTCATATATAAAAAGCGTCACGAGTCGGAGTGACTGCACTACTGTTTCCTCGTAACAATGTCGTTGAAGAGCACAGAATATCACAAACGTACGCACGTAAAACCAATCTGACAGCCGCGCAATTCGCTTCAAGTTCAAGTTCAACCTCGCAGTATATTCAGACACCGATGACTCACATAAAAAATATATGATCAATGTTGCTTTTGCTGCCTAATATAATGAACTGCTTTGACCTATCCAGGAATACACTCAAGTCCACTCTCTCTCAGACTCTCTCTCGCTCTCTCTCTATCTATCTCTCTCTCTCTTCTCTCTCTCTCTCTCTCTCTCTCTCTCTCTCTCTCTCTCTGCCTGCAGACCAGTAATCAAGTCTGCGCCTGTTTGCATGCTCTACCCTCACGGGACACAACGTACATTGTATATTCTACTTACAATGTGCATGTCAAGTAATAATATAATGATCAATTTTTCAGAGAGCCGCCGGCTGCCTGGCCGATAGAGGTTAAAGGTGCTATAATAACATGTTCCCAGCCATGCGTACAGTACCAGTCTAGACACTTAAAATTCAGCCCAGTGACACAGCAGCTGATGTGAGAATTCAACAGGACATATATATATGCGGATTTAAATCGTGGATCTGTGTATAGCACAGGTGTCACTGCCTATTTCCAGTGTCTCCTGGTGGGTAAAATCACTCTATATATGCGAAATTTCTCAATGTAGTGTTGGCAATCGGTTGTCATTTCGTAATCGATCATCGGTTGGACCCAAGTAACGATGATCGTTACAATCGTTACTCGGTGCGGTGTTGAATGCCTGCGTGTGCGTAACGTTGTGTGCAGTACGTGTGTGCATGTATGTGCTTGTTTAACCTTGTTTACTGTTTGTTTTGCACTGTTTAACTACTGTGTGTATAATACATGTTATGTTAATAAAGGATAACTTGTATAGTAGCGATGATATTCTCTATGATTCTCATCACTTTTCCCAAATTTTTTTCCCGATGAAATCGATGATGGATTTTGATACCAAGCGCTTGTCGTTCGGAGCCACTGTTCAACCGATGTCGAGTATAATCGATGATCGTGACATTCACTATTCTCATGTTATAATATATAGCACTTTAGCAGACGATTGACAATTACTTCACCACCTGACCATTTATTATTCAGGCAATGCTGTACAACACTTTGCAATTAATCAGTGTACATGGCGTAATCATTAGTAATCACCACATTTAATTAGCTATGGTCCTTGATGCTAGTGATTCATCATGCCAATAATGTGTACATTAACACCAATTAATCTAAATAGCTGACAATAACCAGGTGGATTTCAGGACTGCCTCTATACCTTACCTGATCACCATAAAGCTGATAATTACCATGCTAATGATGGCCTCATGCTCACTAATTACCCAAAGCAAAGTAGGCCTTATAGACTAAGGCATGGGGCCTAAGATAAAATATTGCTTGTTTCCCTTACCGACCGCCTCCGCAACGTCGCTACTCGACACATTTTATTGGCGATTAAAACAACACAAATTATTTCGTTGCCAAAAAAAAATCAAATTGCGTTCGCAAAAACATATACCAAACAGAATATACAATATACATACACACATCTTGTCAAACAAAATAAAAGATTTTTCACCTACCTACCTACTCCGTGTCCCTGAGAGGCGAGTAGGTAAAGGGGAAACAACATTTTTTAAAGACCCGCACAATGCGCATCCAAACGCTAATTTCTCCAGTACTAGACTAAGCAAATACTTCGTGTCATGCATAATCATTACTACCTTATGGCAAATAAAACTCTAGTTCCTCCATTTCACTGCGCGTTTGTCTTATAAAAGGTATTTGAAAATACCTCCAATGTTGTTGAACATTCTTCGATGTTGTGTACAGCTTGTCCCCAATCTCCAAGCAACCGCTGCGCGATGCCGCGGTACAGCGGTACGGGCCGCAGCGAACATAAAACACTGTGACGTCACGTCACCACTTCGTTGTTATGTTGTTTGAAACAGTTAGCGTTGCGCCTGATTACCTGATTTCGCACCCTCTCTCTTGTTGGAAACGCGCAGTCAAATGGGAGGAACTAGAGTTTATTTTGTCATAAGGTAGTGTGATTATGCATGACACGAAGTATTTGCTAGTCTAGTACTGGAGAAATTAGCGTTTGGATGCGCATTTGTGCGGCTTAAGGGTGGCCTGGTCTTTTGAATTGAAGTTGCAAGGTACAAACAATCTGCAAAACTGGCAACCTTACAAGTACAGCGGGTGTGAAATTAACGGGAGTCCGGAGTCAAATTATTGCCGTTTTTTACAAGCCGGACTACCTGACAGGAATTAAAATTTATATTCGGGGGCTACTTTTCAAGGTCGCCGTGCATGAAAATAGCACTCTAAAATTGGTTTACATTGAAACTCTATGCAAATTTCGGCCGGGCTCTTTTGGCATTTCCGGGGCTCTTTTGCATTTCGAGGCTAAACGAGCCCCGTGTTTTTTTTTCACTGCCTCCCTGATTTGACATATGCAAGGAGTCCGTGGACTCCCTGAAATTCTGCCATACTAATAGTTCGTTCAGAGCACGGCCTGCGCGGGTTACCGGTATTTTTCCAGCAAATGTCGCAAGAAATTTGGCAGACGTGCAACCGCATGAATCTTCAAAATAAGCACATGCGTTATGTTAAAGGAGACAATTTGGAATCCCTATTGCATATATATATGTGAAAGAGTTTCGATTAAACAAGTATTATGATTGTTTCACACAATTTTTTTCGAACGGTTTTCTTATATCAAAAATGACTTAGAAGAATAAATATTTCAGAGCTGTGGGCGTGCGCCATTTATTCAACAGGTTACAGCGCCGCCTGTCGGATCGTGACGTCACAGCGTGGTGCCTGGCACATGTGCAGCTGTAATGAATATATGATTGATGATTCTCCATATTTTCTTCTTTTACAGCACTGGGTAGAAATTAACTTTTTGAGTAGGGAGTCCAACGGACCCCTACTCAAAAGAGAGAGTCCGCAGCAAAATGAGGGAGTCTGCAGTCTGAAGTTCAAAACTATAAGATATTAACAATAACGCGTTGGCGAATTGCAGGACAATTTGCGTGTGCACGCTCTGCTAATATTTTCTTGGGGACATTTGCTGGAAAAATACGATAATTCCACGAGGCCATTGCTGTGGAACGAACAGATTAGTGCATATAGCAGATTTCAGGGAGTTACAGGACTCCTGCATATGGTCAAATCAGGGAGTCGAAATAAATTAGGGAGTATTTGACTCTGGACTCCAATTAGTTTCGCACCCTGTTTTATATTTTGTGATATATATGTAGATTGTGCATTAGATATATAAGATATGGACTGTTCTCCATATTCTGCCAACATTTAGTACAATAGCGCACCCTTAAAAATTTGTTTTTTCCTCTTTTACCTACTCGCTCTCAGAGTAGGTAGGTAAGTGAAAAATATTTTTTATTTTGTTTGACAAGATGTGTGTATGTATTTATTGTATATTCTGTTTTTGTGTATATATGTTTTGATGGGAACGAATTTGATGTTTTTGCGGGGGCAAAACGAAATAATTTTTGTTTTGTTTTAATCGGCCAATAAAATGTGTCGAGTAGCGGCGTTTTGGCGAGTCGGTCGGTAAAGGGGAAACAAGCAATATTTTATCTTAAGTAGGCCTAATATAAGAGGGTAAATACAATTTCATTTTCATGCCAAAACGTAAACCTCTAGTTTCACGATGCCTACATAGTACATTGTACATATAATCTGCAATATATAGATGTATATAAAGATTGATATTTTTCATGTATATTAATATCATCCTTAAATCGTGTGTTTAGACACTGAAAATTTATTGCTGCAAAGATGTAATGTGTGCAAAATTCATTTACACTGGTACTTTATTGATTTATTGACTAGATATGGTAATGTAATCCTGCATATATACACAATTACAACATGACAGAATGTTCACTGCACTCAGTTATTGACTCACGATGGGTGTGTCCCGAAAATTAAGGTACAACATGAGGATTTCATGTAAACTTGAATATCGGACACCAAAAGACACTGGCCCAATGATATAAGAACTGTCCAGATTCGCACATGTCGCACATTGCGAAAATGAATTGTGGTCAGCGCTTATATCCATGAACCAAAACATTAGTCTCCACTTCAATTTTTAATGTAGATATAATAACTTAGTAATCACTGTGGTAATGTGTTGTGCCTTCGCTCTGCCACAGGGCTATAGCACAAACTATGTTGAAACTGGGCAACGGAATTGCTCCCACGAAAAACGGCTCACAGAACGCAAAATGATCAGGCTTTTCAACACTTATTTATCTACATGGACCTCTTACCTATCTTTTTGAACACAATTCACAACATTACACCATGCATTTATTCATTTATTCCTCAAAGTCTTAGCACTACTTGCAAATTCCGTTCAAATGCTCACGTGGGTACCGTCATCCGAAATGTAGGCAAAAACACGAGGGCAGCCCATTACTAATGCATGGGGGTGAACTGGCACTTTTCTAATCATAAACGTGTTGCCTGCCAACCTTGTAATCAGCGCCAGTGCTATACCCACATCCCCATGAGTAATGGGCTGCCCTCGTTTTTTTTCTGTGATCCGTTCATCGTGGGATAAGAGGGAGCAGTATTGTTGGCAATGTTGCCCAGTTTCACCATGTCCCACCACCTGCGTCATAATACTCGTATACGCGGTCGATGCAGTACACAATCAAGATCAAGATCAAGTTTGTGCTATAGCCCTGTGACAGAGCGAAGGGTTATGCTTATAGTTCTAGAGCTATGACTACGCAGTACGCAGGACGGGCAGCAGTACTGACTTCTGACACTGACAGTGTCACTGTGACTCGGACTTCCAGTACCACTAGCACTACCGAGCACTAGGCCTACCACTGCACTGGCACTACCAGTGCCCCACTGCCACTACCACTACCACTACCACTACCATTACCAGTGCCAGTGGCAGTAGCCAGTACCAAGTTAGTACTCACTAGTACTACTCAACTTACTCAGATATTATTTTACAAACAGAAATTACTACTGGTTATTCACCTCCACTGTGTGCTCATCGAGATTCTTCCCTTGCTTCCCCCTTGACGACGCCACGATGAACAGAAGTTACTAACAAAAAGCAATTTTGTAGAAGCAATTTAAAAACACATCACATAGACGACTTGTATTATAATCAACTTCCGTTCTCGCAAATACTCGTGTGCGCACGCGCAGCCAGAAGATTTCTTTTCCGGTTTGGCCCTAACCAAATACAGCAGGTTATATAGTATTTTATTACAAATCTAGATGCTATGATTTAATCCTACGTTATATGTATTAGTTAGTCAAGCGTTTACAAAGTAGAATAATTGCTTAACACGGTTGTGATTATTTGGTTACTTAGTCTCGATATTTTCGCTACAACACGGTACTCAAATTCAGAAACAGACGCATAGTTTACTGTCTATGTGTACAGTTTGGTTAAAATCGACTAAAGCTTGAGCCTTCGTATCGATACGTACGGTTAATTTGCTATGTTCGGTAAACTCATGTTCACTGTACTGTGTACTTTCTACGTACACGTCATGTCCGACTGTATTTCACATAATTAAAAGGGTAAAAGCCTCATTGTTAAAGAGTAGCACAGCCTCAGGAATTGGTTTTAGAAATTGACTGATGCCATCGGCATCACTCGGTGATAACAGTTTCTGTCCATACACACAAATAGTTAGGCTAACAGAGTACCGCGTAGTTGCTGGCATGTTCTTGCCAACACCTGATTGATTAACTCAGTAACTGTAATTTGATTATTGGCACTGTAGCAGTTTGTTTATTTTTGTGATTCTTATTTGCAGGATGTTGATGCCCAAGAAGAATCGTGTTGCTATCTACGAATACCTCTTCAAGGAGGGTGTGATGGTAGCGAAAAAGGACTTCAATGCTCCCAAGCACCCAAACCTTGATATACCAAACCTGCATGTCATCAAAGCTTTGACGGTAAATGATGGAATTCCATTATTAGAAATGTGCATGTTTAGCTTTTACCCAATATGTTACCTTGCATAAGAAACTTCTTTTGCTAGCTAATATTACAAGTTAATTGGAATTTAATTTATGGACTGGAGAGTATCGGAAGACGTAGACACATAGGTGTAAATCATTGCACACTTCATGTCTATTTGAAGCATCATGAATTGACCTGGATTTAGTTCGAACTTTGCATGCATTATTAATTTAGTTTTTATTGAGCAGTTGTAGATGGACTCGTCCTTTTTAAATGATCAAGTCACAATTCTGCAAACTCGTAAAAACTTATCTTGAAACAAAGCTGAGAACAGGGTTGATCACAATGTCACTCACACTGTGCTGTTGATTTAACATGTGGCCCACATAAGCAGCGTTGCCAGCTCCGTTGCTGGGTGCAACCGTAATACTCGGGGGTTTCTTATACATAGGAGGCACAGTGGCGCACCACCGTTGTCAAATTTAACATCCCCGTTGTGGAAATGTTCCTGTATTTACTAATAAATATATCCTGTCGGGGTTCTCCAAGAGCACTTATAGCCTGGCGGGCCGCCAGGCTATCGTCGAGCCCCGCCATCCTAAAATGCACCCGCCACTCTAAATATCATAGCCCCCGGAACCCCCTAGCACGCAAACCGCCTTCGGCGATTTGCAACTAGTACCGTAAAGGCAGCAACCCCATGCTATAATGCAAAAGCTTGGAGAACTCTGCCTGTAACTATATACCTATAAGTATATCAATACATCCTGTATTTGAATCCATCATGCGCATTTTTTCCCACCAAACTGGCCATTTACCTCCTTGTTTAATTTTCCCTCGAAAGAAACCCTGATACAGACCTGTTTTTGTTAAAGAAGCGTTCATTCAGGGTACAAATGACTAACAGTTTCACTGCCGTGTATAAGTCTGTATTCCGTTAAAATTTGAATTGAGATGTTTTTAATTCTCTTTGGCAGTCGCTTAAATCTCGAGGATATGTGAAGGAACAGTTTGCCTGGAGGCATTACTACTGGTATCTCACAAACGAAGGCATCCAGTATCTTAGAGACTTCCTTCACCTGCCACCGGAGATTGTGCCAGCAACTCTCAAGAGACAGACCCGAGCTGAGCCTGCACGCCCAAGGCCCAAGGGTGAGCATGTTGTACTTGATGTTGATTGCCTCTTGCTAACCAATGTAAATGCAACGTGCATAGAATACTGGTAGTATAAGAAAATTAACTAGCATCTCGATTAGGGGTGTAACGATATACCGGTATATCGGTATATTGCAATATATTTTGAAAACTCGATATATCGCGATACAACTTCCGGATATCGATATTTAAAATCTGCCACTCTAATGGCGAATTACGCCAATTTTCTGCTATAACATGATCTTCGCAACACACACACGATCTTTCATAGGCAAGTTCATTGTACGCTACACATAAAACTGTTTGAGTGCGCGCGTGCGTGCGTGAGTGAGTGAATGTCTGTCTGTGTGTGCGTGTATGTCAGTTGTCGGTCTGTGCTTAGGGCATCCTCACAGTGCTTGGGGGCATGCTGGCAGTGCTTTTGGGGCTTGCTGGTAGTCATTGGGGCATGCTGGCAGTGCTTTGGGGCATGCTGGCAGTCCCTGGAGCATGCTGGCAGTGATTGGGGCATACTGGCAGTGCTTGGGGCATGCTGGTAGTGCTTGGAGCATGCTGGCAGTGCTTGGGGCATGCTGGCAGTGCTTGGAGCATGCTGGCAGTGCTTGGGGGCATGCTGGCAGTACTCGCGCCCGTGGCATGCTGGCAGCGCTGGAGGGCGTGCTGGCAGTACTTAGGACGTGCTGGCAGTGCTTGGGGGCATGCTGGCAGTGCTTGGGGGCATGCTGGCTTACTTAGGGGCATGCTGGCAGTGCTTGGGGGCATGCTGGCTTACTTAGGGGCATGCTGCCCTGCTGTCCATGAGTGTTAGAGGTGGGTTAAACCTACTACCCTGCTGTCATGAGTGTTGAAGGTGGGTTAAACCAAATACCCTGCCGCCATGAGTGTTAGAGGTGGGTTAAACATACTACCCTGTCGTCATGAGTGTTAGAGGTGGGTTAAACGCTACTACCCTGCGTCATGGGTGTTGAAGGTGGTTAAACCTAAATACCCCTGGCCGTCATGCTGTTAAAAAGAGGTGGATTAAGTCTAGCTACCGCTCTTCCGCCATAAGGTAAAGTGGGGTAAACCTACTACCCTGCCGCCATGAGTTTTAGTAAGGTGGGTTAAACTAGCTAGCCTGCCCCAATTGTTTAGAGTGTTAAACATACTGACCCTGCCGCCATGAGTGTTAGAGGTGGTTAAAGCCTACTAGCTGCTGCTTTTCATGAGTGTTGAAAGGTTAAAACCAATACCTACTGCCGCGCATGAGTGTTAGAGTGGATTATAGCCCTAACTACTCACCGCGCGCGTGCCGGCCGCCTGCCGCCTATAAGTGTTAAAGGGTGGTTTAAAAACCTACTACCGTGCCGACCAATGATGTTTAGAGGTTCGGTTATAGACATACTACCGAACTGCTTCATGATGTTGAAGTGGGTTAACCAAATAACCGCCGCCATGCGTGTTTAAGGTGGTTAAGCCTACTACCCCTGCCGCAGATTGTTAAGAGTGGTTACAAAACGACTACGTTGCCGCTCATTGATGTTAGAGGTGGTTAAACATACACCGCGCCGGCCATAAGTTAAAGGTGTTAAACCTACAACCCTGCCGCCATTGAGCTGGTTAAGTCGGTTACACCATACTACCTTGCCGCCACAATAGGGTTAGAGATGGTTAAACATACCTACCCTGCCGCCAGAGGTTAGAGTGGGTTAAACCTACTACCTGCCGCCATCAGTGTTAAAGGTGGGTAAACATACTACCTGCGGCCATGAAAGTGTTAGACGGTGGTTTAAAACCTACTACCCTGCCGCCAGAGTGTTAATGTGGTTTAAACCTACTACCGACTCCGCCATGAGTGTTAGAGTGGTTAAGCCTACTACGTCTGCGCCATGAGTCAGAGTGGGTTAAGGCCAACTACCCCTGCCGCCATGATTTTAGAGGTGGTTAAACTACTACCCTGCCGCCATGATGTTAGAGGTGGGTTAAGCCTACTACCCCTGCCGCATGAGTGTTTAGAGTGTAAAACATACTACCCTGGCCGTCATGAGTGTTGAAGGTGGGTTAAACCAAATACCGCGTGGCCGCCATAAGTGTTAGAAGTGGTTAGAGCCTACACTACCGCCTGCCGCCATGAGTTTGAATGGTAAACATACTACCTCTGCGCCATGAGTGTTAGAGGGGTTAAACCTACTACCTGCCCGCCATGAAGTGTTAAAGGTGGTCTAAACACTACTACCCCTGCCGCCATGAGTTAGAGTGGGTAAACCTACTCCCCTGCCGCCGATGAGGTTAGAGATGGCTTAAACCGAACCCTGCCTCCGGTCAGTGTTAAAGGTGTTAAACATAACTACCTGCCGACCATGATGTTAAGGTGGGTTAAACCTACCTCCCCTGCCGCCATCAAGTGTAAAGGGGTGTAAACATCCTACCGCTGCCGCCATGCTGTAAGTGGGTTTAAGACCTAAGTCTACCGCTGCCGCCAATAGATTGTTAAGGTGGTTAAGACTCTATACCCTGCCGCCATGCGTTGTTAGAGTGTTAAACCTACTAAACCCTGCCAACCAATGAGTGTAAGGTGGTTAAGCCTACTACCCCTGCGCCATCAGTGTTAAAGGTGGTTAAACCTACTACCCTGCCGCCATGAGGTTAAGAGTGGGTAGAAGCCTACTACCCTGCCGACCATGAGTTTAAAGTGTTAAACATACACCCTCCCGCCATGATTGTTAAGTGGGTTTAAACATACTACCCGCCGGCCATCATGATTACGAGTGGTTAAGCCTACTACCCCGTGCCGCCATGAGTGTAAAGGTGCGGTTAAACATACTACCCTGGCCGCCATGATGTTAGAGTGTTAAGCCTACTACCCTGCCGCCATAAGTGTTAAAGGTGGTTAAACATACTACCCTGCGCGCCATGAAGTGTTAGAGAGGTGGTAAACATACCCTGCCGCCATCAAGTGTTAGATGTGATTAAACATACTACCCTGCCGTCCATGAGTGTTAACGTGTGCGCCCCCAAAACAGCTTTTAATGCTTAGAGTTGGAGATCTCTGCGTAACTCCAACGCGCGTTAAAGAGGCGGTCCCGCTCGTTCCGGTGCGCGCGCGTGCGAGAGATACGAACATCTACGTATACGCCGTTAGTGGCCGGCAATGTGGGCCTCCGTAATAGTCGTCTGCCGGCTTCGTCACACGTCAGACATCGCTGAGCGGCGCGCACGCCTCCATCGCGTCCTCGTACTTCGGCCCTTTTCGTCTTCGTCTCCGTCGCGTTACGTTCTCAGAACTGTAAGCGAATTCGCGTGAATATGTTATTTGTAACAGAAGACTATGATAAAGCTAAGGTAAAATAACATCAGATTTATATATTGAAAATACTCAGCCAGACAGCCAATGAATGGAAATTCAGTCCTTAATATCGAACGAGGCAATAGTTCCAAAAGCTATGCTTAATGGCGCTAGCTGTTATTAATATTACAAATGTATTAGAGAGAAAGGGTGCTAATGCTGCTGTAGATTGGAATAGAATTTGCGAGGATCCAAAGATCGTTTATACTTCGGAATGCAGTCGGTAGCATTTGCAATTAGGATAGCTTGATCTACTGCGCTATCGCTCATCTATATATACACAAACATGTATTCGAGCCTGGGCTACCGAAAACAATAAAAGTGAATATAGTATGCTGCCAATTGCCTACGAGGACGCGTCGCTTCGTGTATACCTTCAAGTTGCCTGACAGACCTCGTAAAACAGCTCTCAACCCCACGTCCTCTAAGCCAACTTACAGCCTAGCCCCACATACGCAGTTCCCCTGAATTCTGCACGGGAACTGTGTATCGCGTGTCGACCGACCGATGCGTTCTGAATGAAAAGCGCATATTTACATTGAAACGTATACCAAAGCGCCCTACTTTATGGTAAACGGTAGTTATATTTCCGTATGTATTTCTTCGCCATCTATTTCGTAATAGTTTAACCATTGAATTTGCTCGAATGCATGCAACGTTGTTTAATTTTATTCCGAGTGTAGCAACTAGAAGCAACATATTATGAGAAACAAAAATCTTTTCAACGCCAACTTGCCTTTTTCACCGCGGTCCTTGCCTCCTCACATCCACACGCCGCATGTCATTGAAGTTGACTGAATATCGACTCCTCCTCTCTCTTCATCATTCAATCGTCGTCATCACTCATCGCGCAATCAGCAACGCAGCACGCTGTCATACGCCATCATCATCCGTCGTCGTGTCGTCGTCGTCGTCGTCATCATCGTTATTGCCGTTAACGTGGTCGCCATAGCGGTCACAACTTTCCACCCGCCGTTTTGCGTGTCTCGCTTGTCAAATCCTGCATATTTTCCCCTTTGCGACGCCGCTCTGCATCCCCGACGTCGGCCGGTACTCTTGATGACTGTCGGCCGTATCAAGCCGACCGGCAACCCTAGAGTATAGACGCTGTCGTCGTCGCCCAAATCTTCTAACCGCATGCCGCAATGATCGTCGCCCAGTGCCCGACGAACTCGTCGCGAACCAGACTAATTGCGTGCCGAATGTCGTCATGTGCGTCGCGCCGAGGGAAAATGATGCCCAACACATGCCTCAGCTGCCACTGTTCCGATAAAGACAGGAACGCTTCGACGGTAGCTTTCGCGTTCTCATCCCTCAGCGCTCAATCCACTGACATCCTCAGCGCGTGCCGCAGGCTCGAGTCTCCTCTCAGCGTCTCCGTCCGACTGGCCTGTCATAGTTGTGAATATCGTGTACGAGTCGCTCGCACGTGGTACCGCCCCCGAGAAAGAAAAATCTTGCTCCGTCGCCTCCGTCTTACCGTGTCGCTGAAGTCAAGATGGCCGTTTGATTCGTCGTGAAACGCCGTCACGTGGGTCGCAATAACGACAGCAGCCCGCATGTGACGACATCCGACTGAAGAGACACCGCAGTGTCGACAAGTGCTGTTAATGGCAGCCTCGATGAGCTAATGATGTTCGTATATACGCGAGAGCTATCGAGAGGACACGTCGAGACGCGCTTGACCAATCGCGTTGAGTCTGGTGTCCGTAAATGTTGGCGTGGCATGGCCGTCACGGCAGTCGCGGTACGCGGTTGTCGCGAGGTGTAGTCCGCCGCGGTGAATTCGTGAGCGAGTTTGAAGGCCGCGTGGCGGCGCGTGACAGTCACGTAGCGCCGTTGACATGGCGGCGGCTGATTAAGGAAAGTTTGCATCGTAGGCGCCCCCGCGGCGCGACATCGTATCTTGCAGGCGCGACCGCGTCTGCTCTGGTGCTCGGTTGACACTCATCGTTGGTACGCGAGTCCGGCTGCGCCGAGGGAAGACATCGCGCCACGTGCATAATACGATGGCTGAACTTACGGGGTGTTTTGCCGCCGCCGCCGCTTCGCTGCGTGCCAACCATCTCAAAATGGCCGACCGACTGCCTGCGTATGTACTGTGTCCAATGGGAGCGCCGAATAACTGCTCCTCGTCTTGTGGCAGGCGCAAAGCTCAGTCAGGGAATGGCGACGTTGGGTGGAAATTATGTCTATTGTTTGATCCATGGGAACGTTAACATGTGCTTGGACACTCTGGCAGCCACCATTGTACACTTGCTTGGTCTATTGTTGGACATCATTGTACCACTGTGCTTGTCCATGGCATTTCATCATTGTACACGTCTTGGTCCATGCAATCCCATCATTGTACACGTGCTTGCTCGCATGGGCATCCAATCATTGTACACGTGCTGGTCCATGGGCCATCCACCATTGTACACTTTGGTCCTGATTGGGCATCCATCATCGACACGGTGCTTGGCCCATGGCATCCATCATATTGTACACGGCTTGTCCAATGGGCATCCATCATCTAAACTGTGCTTGACCATGCATCCATCATGAAACACGTGCTTGTCGTCATGGGCCATACCAATCATCGTACACGTGCTGACCATGGCATCCATCATTGACACGTGTTGTCTATGCCTCCATTAATGCTACACATGGCCTTGTCCTATGGCATGCCATCATTGTACACGGCTGCCTATGGGCATCCATTATGGACACATGCTGTCTATGGCATCCACATTGTACACGGTCTTGTCTATTGGCATCCATATTAACATGCTTGGTCCATGGGCATCCATCCTTGTACACGTTTTGACACCGGCGGCTGCTGTCTGCCAGCCAGACCTGCGCGTATGCGTCGCTGGATCGCCAAGAGACGTATGAAATCTCGTCATTTCTCGCGCTTGTTGTAACGTCGTCTCATCTGCGAATCCTGAAGGCCCGTAAGTATCAGCCGATGCGTCGGAATACGTTACCGATAGGTGTCGCTCGTCTCCGATAGGCAGATCAACGCCATGCTCATCGACTTCGTAGGCTTCTGCGTAGTCTGGGAGTGATGAGAGACAGACCACTATTGGGCGTAAGGAGTAGTAATGTAGTTATAGTTAAACGTAGAGATTGTTTACTAATAAACAGATGATGGCGATCTTACTCGTTCTAAACCCTCGTCTTTTGAAGGTTATACGCACGTAAGTATTGGCCTTCGCCCAATAATTGAACAATTATTGTTCACCCATTTGAATTGTGCGGTATTTCGTCTCTGAGAAACGGATGTTTTTATTATATTTCTGTGATAATATTTAGCGAAAAATGCAGTAATCTGCATTTACACCTATGTTAGGTGCCTCATCGACGTGTAGAAAGCATGAAAAGTAAAATTAGTCTTGTGAAAAAAATTATGCTATTCTGTCCAGTGATGCACGTACACTTTACAGTTTTCTTGTTACAGAGCAAGATGTTAAGTTACTATAGTGGTTCGTTGGGGGTAACTTCGTAAATTACCAGCGCATGAGAAGTGTTTTGGCATTTCTATTTTTGCGCGACACACACGCGCACGCACACACGTACACGCACACAACACGCTACATGCACCACACACACACCACCACACGACAGCACACACACACAGCCACATCACACACACACCACAACACACACACACAACTGCCCACCGCCACCACCCGCCCTGCCGTGGTACCTGGCCGCTGATGACGATCGATAGCGCTCCAGAGCGCTGGTATTATTCCCCGCTTCCGCTCTCGCGAGCAGCGCTGGCTGGACGCTTGCGCGGTGCGTCTTCGAGATCCTTCGCATCTCTAATAGCTGAGAAAATAATAAGCGTTGGCTAGAGATCGTTGATCGATCACCCTAAGCTCTGGACATTTCCAAATACGCTGCAGTGGTTAGAACTATATACAAACTAGTTTCGCTCTATGAAACAGCCCACACACATACACACGTCACACACACACAACACACCACACACGCGCCGCGCCGCGGCCACAACACATCGAACACAGACACACACACACACACACAACACACACACACACACCATACTACAAGCACGCACCCACCAATACACACACACACACACACTACATCAATACATACACGACACACACACACAGTTCACACAACACACACACAACACAACACACACACAACACACACACTACACGCAAGCACGCACATCACCAATAACACAAACCACCACAGCACCACACACGGCACACACAACACAACCACACATCATACACCACACACGCACACACAGCACACACAGACACACACAATACACGCAAGCACGCACACACCAATACACACACACACACACACACAACACACAACACACCCACACACACGCACGCATCACACACAGCACACACACACACACACACACACACACACATACACGCAGTACAGTATAATATATCCATATATATCGGATATATTATACTATTATACTCTCCTTACACTTATTTATAGTATTCCTGTGCACCGGAGTAAGCCTAAATTTCGTTATTCCGTAAGTGCTCTACTTTCTGATATCATTGATCTGCAAGCTGATAAGCGTGTCACGACAGCGAAAGGGACTGAAGGGGACCTAGTAGGTGGTAGCTCGTCTGTGAATCGAAAAATTTGAAAAGATTCTTTTATTTTGAGGTTTTGCGGCATTTCGAGCTTTAATTCGAGCAGAATTATTACTGTCAAAAATTCGGAGAATGTCGGCGAGCAATAATAACTCTAGGCAAAAAAAGCATTTTCCCGGGAAAACTAGGTTGCATTACGAAAGCGTTGCCGTCTCGTCTGCTGTGAATCTCAAGCGGCTAAGCGTGAGCGCACGCTGTTATTGTAGTCGGTAAACAAGTAACAGGCGGGCTGGCCGGAATTAATTACATCTCTGCCTCTAAACACAACATGAGCGAAGCTTTTCTGGTTCCAATGACGAAAACTACGATATGAATTACATGACCGACGTACGCTGACAGCACAATGATGACACCCAGCCCCCTCCGTCCCCAGCTTCCACGATCTGACATGATTCTAATCTGAAATCCACAACCCCAACACCTACGCTATGTTTTCCCACACCTACCGTAGTTACGGCGCTATGTTTTCCCACACCTACCGTAGTTACGGCGCTATGTTTTTCCACACCTACCGTGGTTATAACTGCGAATTCGGTGGGCCGTTGTGCTGCTCCTGTCATCAGAATGAAGAAAGACGAAAACCCAAGCATTGCACTGACCTGGGCCCCGGAGGGGAAGAGAAAAAAGGGAAGGCCAAGGGAAACATCACGAAGGACAGTGAAGAAAGAAAGGATTACATTAGGGGTTAAAACATGGAACGAGGCCGAAAGAGCTGCAACGATAAAACGTCATGGAGAAATTTGATTTCCAGCTCTATTCTCCACGAGGAGAGAAGGAACTAAGAGAAGAAGAAGAACGACCGTGGTTATACACTGCATTATGCGGCCCCTATACTTGGAATCCAAGATGGCCGCCTTCCTCTACCTTGGTGAAGTGGCTCCTATCAAAAATTGAAAGCTAAGGTAATGAATAGTACAGGGAATAAGTTTGGTGCTTTTATCCGGAACGTCCCCCATCCTTCTCAGATCTGGACCTAAGCCACCTGACTAATTCTACACGTGACATATACGCTCCCCGCAGGTACCCACGAGCCAGATGTCGAAGTAGGCCGCCTTAATGAGGTCGTCCATGCTGTCGGCGATGACGTCGGCGACGTACGGCAGTCGCTTGACGAAAGTGATGATGCGACTCATGCAGGCGCGGATGGCGGTTATCAGGTGGCGCCACATGGTGGCAACCGTCTGTCGCTCCTGTAGCCCAGCTAACTGCATTGCACGGTGAGAGAAACAGCGCTGTAACATGGCGAGAGACAGCGCGGTAACATCTTCTGTCCTGCCGCCATCAGTGTTAGAGGTGGGTTAAACATACTACCCTGCCGCCATGAGTGTTAGAGGTGGGTTAAACCTACTACCCTGCCGCCATGAGTGTTAGAGGTGGGTTAAACCTACTACCCTGCAGATTTTTTTTTTTGGCTTTTATTTATTTCAGAGGTAAAATTGTAGTGGCAGCCCTCGGCCACCATATACCTCCTCTCTATTTTGAATGCATAATTTTCGCAAAATATTAAAATTCTCGGGAGATATTGCGCATGCGCGAGCACCGTTTTAGGCGTGCAGTACAGACTGAAGACAACTGCATAATATCGCTTGCTGAGAGAGGGAGTAAGTGTTGGGAGACTGAGGAAATGCAACAGGGAAGATAACTGGGGCGGAAGAAAAAGAGAGAGGATGAGCGACAAACAGGGGAGGCAAGGGGACGGGCGGAAGCGGATGAAGTAGGTATTTTGCACCCTACAGGCTAGGGCGCTCTCCTAATTATGATCACAGGTCTACTGATAACAATTAATTACAGAAATCGATGCTGAGATGATACCCTATAACCAATTTAAATTCATAATCATCACAAAATATAACAACGGTGCGAGCGATAAAATCGTCGAGCGGAGACTATGTCCAGCATCATATTATGTGCATATGGCCGTCGGCCGTACGAAAAAGATGGCGCTCTAGCTGCAATTCGCAGATACGCAGGCGCTCGGCGAATTTTACCACGTTTTCCTATAGTCGGATAGCCCGACAATGATTTGAATTCATAATTTCATCGCATGCTCTATATTTTCGGCGCGAACGGGCATGCAGAAATCCAATATTTCCCCGTTTGAATCTGAGCAATAAAAAAATGAATTCGTAATTGAAACACATACGCGGTTTATTGGGAATATCTACAGTTAATTTATAGCTGTAGTTTCGCACTTGCTTTAATGTTGTATGTGTAGACGAAATATAACAAATATGAACTGTATTTTCTGTTACTTTTACTCTGTGGGGAGAATAAAACGAAAGTTGAAACCTGTCGTTGTTTCACCGTTGAAAACTTACGTTGTTGCATTGTCGAAAACTGACGTTCTTGCATTGTAGAAAACTGACGTTGTTTCAACTAACAAATACAACAAGTTTTCAACGCTGTTTCAACGTTGGCTCCTGACGTTGTTTCAACATTATTCCAACGTTATTTGCCTATATGGATCTTTAAGCAGTTTTGTGGGCCTGACGAACGTTATTGAATTATGTAATGTAACGTTTTGAGCCATTGTTACATGAGGAGAATTTTTGGGGTTTGTGTTCCTCAAACTTCGGTCGTTTTGCATTACCAACAACTAGAGTAACAAATTGGCAGTTGTTAAATGCAGTCCTAGCTTGGCCTCGTGGAATGCCATTTAATGCACATCAACAATAAAATTACAGCAAAACAGCAAGGGCTTTCATTTATTGCAAAACTAGTGGTATAACAAGCACGTATTTGTTAGCTAAACTGTGCAAGTGACAGTTAAACGCGGCAGCAGAGCCATTCACAAATTCTACGCTACTACCTGCTAGACCACTATTCTGTTCCATGGAGCTCAATGACGGCTCACAGAGCTCCGCGATTCAGCAGATCCTCCACGATCTAGCAGATCCTCCGCGATCCAGCAGATCCTCTGTGATCTGGCAGAACCTCTGCAAACCAGCAGATTCTCTGCAATCCAGCAGATTCTCTGCGATCCAGCAGCTCTGCGATCCAGCAGATCCTTTGTGATCTGGGAGAACCTCTGCAATCCAGCAGTTTCTCTGCGATCTAGCAAGCTTTTTCATTATAGCATGGCGGGTGCTGCCTTTACGGTCCTAGTAGTAGTTGCAAATCGCCGAAGGCGGTTTGCGTGCTAGGGGGGTCCGGGGGCTATGATATTTAGCATGACGGCTATGATATTTAGAGTGGCGGGTGCATTTTAGGATGGCGGGGGTCGACGATGGCCGCCAGGCTATAAGTGCTCTTGGAGAACCCTGAATGGGTGTGAATGTTAATAATTTCAAGAGTGAATAAAAACGAAAACAAAAAACCATTTTTATTCACTCCTAATAGTGTGTATTACGTTATGATAACGGAATATCTCTTTTCTATCCTTCTTTACAGAGAGGTGGCTATGGAAGAGGGAGACCAGCACCGCAATGATGAGTCAATCGCTGCTGTACATAACGGATTATTAACGAAATAAAAAAAACTCTGACATAATTGACGTTTTGTATTTAGTATTTATTGTTGGTGGGAGTGAAGGCAAACCAAACAATTACAATTAAAAGAAGGCACTCGGTTGCCAGTATACTTTATTATCACAACAGCGCCACCTATGGAAACAATACCGTAGAATGTAATGTCTAGAAGTGACTTTCTGAGGTGCAAGTATGTGGAACTAAATGTTTAATTCCAAAAATATATTGCTACTAAAAAGGTACTACATAAAAGCAAAAATGCGTTTAGTTAAATGGAAACATGATTACATTATTAGTGTTTTTACATTAATCTTAACAATATTTATAGACTCCAGTATTTATTTTGAAATCATTGCTCAAAAGTGCAAAATCTGAAAAAAATGGAGCAAAATACAGTCTAACCTCATACCAGATAAATTACTGGTTACACCAACTTGAAAAACACTAGGAATTCTCGCGCTATCTTGAGATAGTCCGAGATTCGCAAGAAATGGTGGCGGTAATCAAAACGAGTAATCGAAATAGTAATAATTAGATTCGTTCATGTTTTGGAGAATATTGCTAAGTACATGTACAAAGGTTCTAAGAGAAGACGTTTTATCATTACTCTAGACAGTTGCTGTTACTCAAGCAATAATAGGAAGTGTCGTAAAAGTGGGGAAAACACGAGACTGGTTGGAAATTATGTTCGAAATAAATACTTCAACAGCAATGTACATGATACTACCTTTCTAAGATTTTCTGCAAAGAGAATCCGTACGACGTTTCAACGTTGGATTTTGGTTGCGATGTTGCCAACATAAAAAAACAGTCTTCGATCGTATTTCAAGTACGTCAATTCAACGTCGCGACAAGATGTTGATTCAACGTTGGATTTTGGTTGCGACATCGAACAACATGTATAAACAGCATCTGTTAAATGTCTTTTTAACTACGTCTCAATTCAACATTGTAAAAAGACGTTGGTTCGACGTTGCAAACATGTCGGTCACATAATAAACGGGTGATTATCATCATCGTCAATAATGACGATGAAGAAGACGGCAAACAACGCTTTACGGATCGGGGGTCGCGGGGCTTCGGACGCGGAGAGTGGGCCGGCGACCACACGAAGGGAGGTGTCCAGGAAGACGGGACGAGAGAGGGAGATGCCTCTACGGGAGGCCGCGGCACTGACTGGGAGGCGACAGCCGACATCTCTGGGGGGGGGGGAGTTTGCGGCGGGGTGTCGGAGAGGGAAGCCACTGCAGCCGAAAGGACGCACCGGCGGAGAAGGGTCTAGGGTCTCTCCTAAATCGTCGACCGGAGACTATGTTGTGAGACTGAGGAAAGGCAGCGGAGAAGATAGCTGGGGCGGGAGAAAAAGAAGGAGGCTGAGCGAAAGAGAATGGAGCAAGGGGACGGGCGAGAGCGGACGAAGTAGGAAATTTGCACCCCACAGGCTAGGGCGCTCTCCTAATTATGAACACAGGTCTGCTGATAACAATTAATTACAGAAATCGATGCTGAGATACGCAATAACCATATTAAATTCATAATAATCACAAAATATAACTCTTCTAGTGAGATATTGCGCATGCGCTAGCACACAAACGTAGCCAGATTATGCACTGGTTTGTATATGCAGCGGGTACCTTACATGCAAGGTCTTCGTCCTATTTATTAACTGAGGTCTACTAATGGAATATTATTATATAAATCTTTGCTAGAATACCTCTATGGTGGCCGAGGGCTGCCACTACAATTTTACCTCTGAAATAAATAAAAGCCAAAAAAAAAATCTAAATCAAAATCAAATTCAAATTCAAAACGAAATCAAAATCGAAATCAAAATCAAAATCAAAATCAAAATCAAAATCAAAATATGAAATAAAATTCAAAATCAAAAAACAATAATCAAAATCAAAAATAAATGCAAATCAAAATAGCAATCAAAACGAAATCAAATCAAAAACAAAATAAAACGAAATCAAAATCAAAATCAAAATCAAAATCCAAATCAAAATCAATAACGAAATCAAAATCAAAATCAAACTCAAAATCAAAATAAAATCAAACGAAAATCAAAAATCATAAAATCAAAATAAAATCAAATCAAAACAATCAAATCAAAATCAAAAATCATAAACACAATCAAAATCAAAATCAAATCAAAAAATCAAAACGAAACTCAAATTAAAAGTACAGTGAAATGAGTTTGTCGTTGGCCGAGAGCTGGCCAAAGTGAAATCAGTTTTCGCGTTGGCCGAGAGCATGGCCAAAGTGAAATCAGTTTTCGCGTTGCCGAGAGCGCCAAATAGTGAAATAGTTTCGCTTTGCCCGAGAGCTCCAATATGACTGGTACTCGTTCGCCACGTTCACTCCGGCATATATCACTTCGCTATACACTGAAGTTACGTGCGGGCGGCCGTATGGAAGTGATTATAATCCAACGGCCGGCTTTGTGGGATAAGATTCAACTTAATGGCTAGGGAACGCGTGGGAGAAGGGGAGCGTGTTGGAGAAGGAGGAGGGGAGAAGCTGTGGAGAAAGGAGGAGGGGAGAATAGGAGTAAGGTGGTGGAGAAGGAGGGGAGAGGCTGGTGGAGGAGGAGGGAGAAGGAGAAAGGAGAAGGAGGGAGAGAAGGAGCTGGTGAAGAGGAGGGGAGAAGGGAGAAGCTTGGTGGAGAAGGAGGAGGGGGAGAAGCTGGTGGATGAAGGAGAGGGAGTAAGCTGGTGAGAATGGAGGAGAACTGTGGAGAAAGGCAGGAAGGGAGAAGAGGGGGAGAAGGGAGCCTGGGAATGAGAAGGGGAAAGGGGAGCTGGTGGAGAGGAGGGGGTGAGAAGGGACTGGTGAATGAGGAGAGTGGGAGAGGGAAAAGGTTGTGAAGGAGGGGAAAAAGCTGGTGGAGAGAGGAAGGGGAGAAGGCAAGAAGGTGTAGATAAAGGAGCGGAGAAGCTGGGTGTGAGAAGGGGGGAGAAGCTGGTGGAAAGAAGAGGAAGGGGAGAAGGAGGGGATAATCGAGAGGCTGGTGGACTGGAGGAGGGGAGAAGGGGAAGGATCGAGGAGGGGAGAAGGGAGGCTGGTGGCAGGAGTGAGAGGGAAGAACGAGAAGTTGTGGAGGAAGGGAACAAAGCTGGTGGAGAAGAGAATGGAGAAGGAGGGGGAGAAGGGAGGCTGGTGGAAGAGAAGGGGGAAAAGGGAGATCTGTGTGGAGGATGAGGGGGCCGAAGGGACTGGTGGACAGAAGAGGTAGAAGGAAAAGTTGATGTAGGAGTGGAAAAAAGCTGTTGCGAGAAGGAGCGAAGGGAGAAGGAAGAAGGTGGAGAGAAGGAAGGAGGGATGAAGCGGTGGAGAAGGAGGGGCCGAAGCTGGTGAGGAAGGAGAGGAAGCGGGAGAAGAGGGTGGAGAATCGGAGCTGTGGAGCGAGGAGGGGGAGAAGGGAGAAGGGGAATAAGGAGGGGGAGAAAGGGAGCTGGGTGGAGGAAGAGGGGAAGAACGGAGAAGGACTTGTGAGGAGGGGAAAAGCTGGATGGAGAAGTGAAGGAAGGGGAGGATAGGAGGGGGAGAAGGGAGCTGGTGGATAAGAAGGGGAAGAGGGACGCTGGTGGAGGAGGAGGGGGGTAAGAATTTGGACTGTGGATTATAGGTAGGGGAGAAGGTGAAAAGGTTTGTGAGGAGGGAATAAGCCTAAACTGGATGGAGAAGGAGAAGGGGAGCAAGGAGATGAAGGTGGTAGTAGAATGAGGGAGGGGAGAAGCTGGTGAGAAGGGAAGGGGAGACTAGCTGTGGAGAAGGAAGGTAAGGGGAGAAGACGGGGAGGTAATCGGAGCATGGTGGAGGAGAGGGGGAGAAGGGAGAAGGGGATAAGGAGGGGGAGAAGGT